TGGCAGCCTTCTCCCCCTCCTTCCTAGTGCTGGTACTGTCTGGCAGCCTTCTCCCCCTCCTTCCTAGTGCTGGTACTGTCTGGCAGCCTTCTCCCCCCTTCTCCCTCCTTCCTAGTGTCGGTACTGTCTGGCAGCCTTCTACCCCCTCCCCCTCCTTCCTAGTGCTGGTACTGTCTGGCAGCCTTCTCCCCCCTCCCCCTCCTTCCTAGTGCCGGTACTGTCTGGCAGCCTTCTCCCCCCTTCCCCCTCCTTTCTAGTGCCAGTACTGTCTGGCAGCCTTCTCCCCCTTCCCCCTCCTTCCTAGATCCGGTACTGTCTGGCAGCCTTCTCCCCCCTCCCCCTCCTTCCTAGTGCTGGTACTGTCTGGCAGCCTTCTCCCCCTCCTTCCTAGTGCTGGTACTGTCTGGCAGCCTTCTCCCCCTCCTTCCTAGTGCTGGTACTGTCTAGCAGCCTTCTCCCCCCTTCCCCCCCTTCCTAGTGCTGGTACTGTCTGGCAGCCTTCTCCCCCCTTCCCCCCCTTCCTAGTGCTGGTACTGTCTGGCAGCCTTCTCCCCCTTCCCCCTCCTTCCTAGATCCGGTACTGTCTGGCAGCCTTCTCCCCCTTCCCCCTCCTTCCTAGATCCGGTACTGTCTGGCAGTACACAGGTACAGATTTTTAGGAGGTACGAGTTATTTGGAAGTATTTCAGCTGACATAGTCTTCAAACAACAATAATGTAACCCTGCCTGCAATATTGTCATTGATCATATGGGTTTGTTTATGGTCAAATATTAAATTTAATACAAAAAGATTTTCAACAGATCTTTAGGAATAAAATTGAGGTAAGGACGTCTCAGAAGCTACAAAAGCTTGCAGTTAACATTGAACAGAAACCTGTGCCTTAGTCATCATGATAGAAGACTGCCAAAGACTCTTGTGTCCCAGACAATCCATGAATTTAAAAAGCAATAGCATGTGTGCCAGGGTGAGGGCTTGGTTGGAACTGGGCCAGTAAACAGATGAAAAGTGTTCTCCTGATCTTGCCAGTTTGATCAAGACATTTTAACACTATCATAAATACCTTCCTGGTCGGCCCTCATGGCAGAGACACAACAAGTCTTCTTAAAGAGGCAGAGTCACAGTTAATCTTTCTAGCTCTCCATTACAGGTACATAGCACATGGAGATTACATACATTGTATGATACAATGTTGTATCAGTTTAAACACCTGATGCTGTACGTAGCTAGACCGCCTCCGTGGTAGAGCATCCGGCCGGGGAGCGGAAGATCCGGGGTTTGATCCCCGGCTGCGTCATGCCATAAGATGGTACTTGTTGTTACCCTGTCTGGCGCTCGGCATAAAGGGGCTCGGAGTCAGTATACTGTGTTTGAGTGGGGTATTCATGGCTGCGGCATGGTATCTTGGTATCTCAGTGAGCTAGCACAATCAATCAGTATCAGTCCAAACTGGTACAAGCAGACAGACAGACAGACAGACACACACACACACACACACACACACACACACACACACACACACACACACACACACACACACACACACACACACACACACACACACACACACACACATATTCCATAGTATTAGTAGAGTCTTAATATTGCAAATCATGGGTACATAAAGATTGTTTAACAGGGCAGTCACCTATAGTTTGTCAGACAAGCCAGTGGTTAATAGTAGGGCTGTAACGATTCATCGATATCTACGACATCATCGATAATTAGGTACACACAATACTTGAATCGTCAGTTTGTGTGATCTCGATACGCTAAAAATAGATCAAGAACTAATAGAGTTACCTCCCATAATGGCAGAAGTAGCACAGCACCACCTGTAAGACATGCCAGAACACAAGGATGTGGTAGCTGAGGACGTGCCAACTAACTGTTATATTTAATAACCATCTCTTCATTTAAGACTGTTTTGATCTTATGGTATTGTTCTTTTACTGATATAAGTTGACTTATACTTGAAACCAGTATTAATAACTGTCTTCCATAGCTGCCAACTATCCCAGATTTGAAGTATTTGTTGCGAATTTGCTACTAAAATATGAAAATATGATTTCTTCCTTAATTCGTATGAATAATATGTGAATCTACAGAAACAAGATCCCAAGGAATAGGCTTTCATAAACAGGAAGTGTGGAAGGGGATACAGGCACTGAGTCCATCCATTTTCTGTCTTTCTGTCCGTCTGTCTACTCCTCAAAGGGAACAAATTTTTTCAAAAACTATTAAGTCAGAGAAATTAAATTTTACACACTGATATTACTGGTCATGATCTTAATTGAGGTCGGAAATGAGTGTCTTGAATTATTTTTTTGCAGAGTTTAAATTTAAGTTGAAAAACATGGAGCAAGGGCCATAACTCTGCATAGTGCATCCTGTGTAAAATGGGAATAAGTTTTCTCAGAAACTACTGAAATTACATGAACAGTTTGCATGCTTATATAAGAGATACTTGTCAAGACTCAGTTTAAAAATTTGTGCCGTAAATTATTTTTTTACAGTTATGGCCCTTGCTCCATGCTTTTCAACTTAGTGCATTGTGTTTGCAATAGGGACACCTTTTCTCGAAGCTACTGATGTTACGTGAATGAACGTTTTCATGTTATCTATGAGATACTTGTCCTAACTGAGTTCGAAAAATGGTCCTGTAACTTATTCTTTACCAGAGGTACTTCCCTTGCTACATGTTTTTAGATTTTGAGCATACACAGTTGCAGGCCTTGATGCATGGTATTTTACAAAGTGCATGGTGTCTGCAATGGGAACAATTTTTCTCAGAAACTACTGAAGAGATACTTATCAAGACAGATTTCGAGATTTGGCACCAGATTTTATTTTTTTCAGAGAAGGGAAGGGGCCTTTTGTGTGTATTAATTTCACATTTATTTATTCTTTCTGTTTGTTTTGTTTGTTTGTTTGTTATTTAACGCTGCACTCAGCAATATTCCAGCTATATGATGGCGGTCTGTAAAATAATAGAGTCTGGACCAGACAATCCAGTGATTGACATCATGAGCATCGATCCACGCAATTGGGATCGATAACATGTATCAACCAAGTCAGCGAGCCTGACCACCCGATCCCGTTTATCGCCTTTTACGACAAGCAAAGTCGCATTTTACGGCAAGTATGGGTTGCTGAAGACCTACTCCAACCCAGAATCTTCAAGGGTCTATTATTTCTGATGCCATAAAACGACCCTAGTGTGTATCTCTTCTTAAGGCTTTACGGGACTCTTTTTCTATTGTTTAACAAACTTCTAATGTGCCCCATGGGGTGGGGAGGGATGGTGATAACACTGTTTTCTCGTTGGCCTTACACCGGCTGCTACGAGCACAAGCGTGTCTTGTTTATCGACTGGTATAAAGTCTATTTATAGTGTTGCATCTGTCCAGTGGAAACTTGTATTATCAGAAGTAGCTGTGTCCAGACCAGATAATTGTAACCAAATACTAATGGCTGTTTGGGAAAGGTGGCAGCTATGTTTTGGTTTATGAATATTACAGGAATATATCACCTTTCATTACAATGGGACTCACCAGATACATGAGTGACAAGGCATATGAACAAACGATACCAACATGCATGTCTACTTGACATCTGAATGAGGTCTGTTATTTCCCAGCTGGATCAGCCTCACAAGTACTTGATAGTTCCAGCAAATTATTCAACATTTGATACACAATTTTATTGCCCATAGTGTTAGAAAAAATTGAGCTCATGAAAATCGGTGAAAATCGTATGTGGACTAGTTTGTTTACATCATCCGAACGGCTTTGTTTGTTTGTTGTTGAATGCCGCACTCAGCAGTATTCCACCTATTCTAACCATGATCTTCAGGTGTGACGGCATTGTTGATATCATTTGAATTTTATTGTGACGTAAGGTAGGACAGTTGTCACACTAGAAACAATGTCATAGCTGAAGATTGTTAACGTCATTTGAAAATTGTGTCTTTCTGAGCAGCGGCTGTGATGAGTACATGTTTCTGAAAGCAGAGATCCAGATAAGCTTTTGGTGTTGTGGGTATTTTACCCATGCATTTTAAAATCATTGGGTATCAGTAATTCTATCTGGGTATTCAAATTTCTGTTACCCACTAGTTTTTACACATGTGGATATTTAAGTTAAATATTTAAAAACACTATTAGTCCCTGCAAACTGGTGTCGTGTGGGTTCAATAGCTTTATAGGACTCAAAAATACCACGATACTTCCACAAGAAAGTGTGATGGCAAATGATCATGATGTAACTGTCATCGTGGAGTTTGGCAAGGTTGACGGAATGCCTGTTTATAATTTCAAAATAAGTTGCTGATTTGCTAATCGAATACGCAGGGTTACTTCACAATATTTTGATGATACGCACAAGTTTTATTTTTGTAGCGTATCAGTAATGTTCGTTGCGTATTTGATGCGCTTGGATTTTATTTTACTGCGTATTTCTGCATTTCTGATGCGTAATTCATGCAGATACGCAGCTTATTTGTGAAGGGGAAAAATAATGGAAAAAATTATAAAGAAATTATTACCCCCTCGCTCTCGTTCAAGAAATACAAGAATTTTGACACTTGTTTCATAAAAACAATACGACAGAAATGCTTGTATAATAATCAGTATTTATACAGTAGGCTATAATACCTGGTAATACTTCTGGGTCATACAAGCTCCACAGTACCCCTGACTTGTTGGACCACTTCTGTGGTCCAGTGGAGGAGCTTCCATCCAGAGAGTGGAAAGTCCATAGTTCGATCCCCGGAAGCATCATACCAAAAGATAGTACTTATTGCTACCCTCCCTGATACTCTGCGTTAAGGGGTTAAACAAGGACTGGTCGGCTATACTGTGTCTGAGTGGGGGATTCATGTTAAACTGCAGCATGGTATCTCCTGGCTAGCACTATAAAATCGGCATTAATCCATACTAATTCAAAAGAAATACACACACAGGTGCACATCCTTATGAAGCTTCTCCTCCTGATGCGTTTCCTTATCCTGATGCTTCTCCTGATCCTTCTTCTGATGCTTTCATCTTCTGAACAGTCTCCCCATCTTTTTCCTGATGCTTCTCCTGACCCTTCTGATGATGCTCCTCCTGACCCTTCTTCTGATGCTTCTCCTGACCCTTCTTCTGATGCCTCTCCTGATGATGCTTCTCCTGACCCTTCTGATGATGCTCCTCCTGGTGATGCTTCTCCTGACCCTTCTGATGATGCTCCTCCTGGTGATGCTTCTCCTGATGATGCTTCTCCTGATGATGCTTCTCCTGACCCTTCTGATGATGCTCCTCCTGGTGATGCTTCTCCTGACCCTTCTGATGATGCTCCTCCTGGTGATGCTTCTCCTGACCCTTCTGATGATGCTTCTCCTGGCCCTTCTGATGATGCTTCTCCTCCTGCTTATGCTTCTCCTGACCCTTCTGATGATGCTTCTCCTGACCCTTCTGATGATGCTCCTCCTGATTATGCTTCTCCTGACCCTTCTAATGATGCTCCTCCTGACCCTTCTGATGATGCTTCTCCTGACCCTTCTTCTGATGCTTCTCCTGACCCTTCTTCTGATGCTTCTCCTGACCCTTCTGATGATGCTTCTCCTGACCCTTCTGATGATGCTCCTCCTGGTGATGCTTCTCCTGACCCTTCTGATGATGCTCCTCCTGGTGATGCTTCTCCTGACCCTTCTTCTGATGCTTCTCCTGACCCTTCTGATGATGCTTCTCCTGACCCTTCTGATGATGCTCCTCCTAGGGATGCTTCTCCTGACCCTTCTGATGATGCTCCTCCTGGTGATGCTTCTCCTGACCCTTCTGATGATGCTTCTCCTGGCCCTTCTGATGATGCTTCTCCTGACCCTTCTTCTGATGCTTCTCTTGACCCTTCTGATGATGCTTCTCCTCACCCTTCTGATGATGCTTCTCCTGACCCTTCTGACAATGCTTCTCCTGACCCTTCTGATGATGCTTCTCCCAACCCTTCTGATGATGCTTCTCCTGACCCTTCTGATGATGCTTCTCCTGACCCTTCTGATGATGCTCCTCCTGGTGATGCTTCTCCTGACCCTTCTGATGATGCTCCTCCTGGTGATGCTTCTCCTGACCCTTCTGATGATGCTCCTCCTGGTGATGCTTCTCCTGACCCTTCTTCTGATGCTTCTCCTGACCCTTCTGATGATGCTTCTCCTGACCCTTCTGATGATGCTCCTCCTGGTGATGCTTCTCCTGACCCTTCCGATGATGCTTCTCCTGACCCTTCTGATGATGCTCTTCCTGACATTTCTGATGATGCATCTCCTGACCCTTCTGATGATGCTTCTCCTGACCCTTCTTCTGATGCTTCTCTTGACCCTTCTGATGATGCTTCTCCTGACCCTTCTGATGATGCTTCTCCTGACCCTTCTGACAATGCTTCTCCTGACCCTTCTGATGATGCTTCTCCCAACCCTTCTGATGATGCTTCTCCTGACCCTTCTGATGATGCTTCTCCTGACCCTTCTGATGATGCTCCTCCTGGTGATGCTTCTCCTGACCCTTCTGATGATGCTCCTCCTGGTGATGCTTCTCCTGACCCTTCTGATGATGCTCCTCCTGGTGATGCTTCTCCTGACCCTTCTGATGATGCTCATCCTGGTGATGCTTCTCCTGATGATGCTTCTCCTGACCCTTCTGATGATGCTCCTCCTGATGATGCTTCTCCTGACCCTTCTGATGATGCTTCTTCTCCTTCTGATGATGCTTCTTCTCCTTCTGATGCTTCTTCTCCTTCTGATGCTTCTTCTCCTCCTGATATGCTTCTTCTGATGATGATGCTTCTTCTCCTAATGATGCTTCTTCTCCTTCTGATGATGCTTCTTCTCCTCCTGATGATGCTTCTTCTCCTTCTGATAATGCTTCTTCTCCAGTTACTATATGGCTGGAATTGGGCCTATGCAATGTTAAGTTTTAACTCACTCACTCTTCTCCTTTACTGATGATAATGAGGATGTTAAGAATGAGGATGCAAGAACACCCTACAGTGATTTAATCCTTGGTAGTTGACAAATGATCACCGCTTCGCCCATGGTCCTTTAATGATGGAGCTGATCAGATCTGACCGAGTCTTAGTGTTTATTTGCATGATGCAGAAAGTATAAGCAGATGAAGGTGTTATTAATGTGTTTTGGCGCAATTTTTGCATTTTTTTTCTATTTCCATGTCGCCTGTATAAGACTATGATGAAAAGTTACAAAGGTTATCCAAAGCTCAGATAAGTCAGTACAGCTTGCAACCAAATTCACACGACTTGTCTTGTCAACAACTTGTAATAGAATCTTGCTAAAATAACCAGCAAGATGCAGTTTATTTGGATAAGATAAAGACATTATATCCTGTTCATTTTAGGAAGGGCAATGCAAACTTCACACATATAAGCATTGATCGAGATAAATGAACTATTAAAATGTTAAGGTTACGGTATGTATGAATGTATAAGTATTAAAAACTGATTAAATGTTTCTATAGCAGTTAGCCAAGGTGCATTGGTACATGATATATTTTTAATTGGATTTATAAAAACTCCTTTGTTTTTTCGGTCTTTGAAATTAATGATGTAGTTATTTTAGGAGGTGAAATTGAAAACAGAGAGTTATATTTCAAAGTTGTCAGTCAGAAATATAAAGGTTAATTTCAGAAAAATAGTTCTGATACTTTTTTTAACCAAAGGCAGGACATTCAAATTCAAGACCTTTTCAAGCTTATGAGTACTTTGTTGCTATTAAATTCTTTTTATTCTGCATGTATGTGATGGTTGGTTGGTTGGTTTGTTGTTTAACGCCGCACTAAGCAATATTCCAGCTATATGACGGCGGTCTGTAAATAATCGAGTCTGGACCAGACAATCCCGTGATTAATATCATGAGTATCGATCCACGCAATTGTGATCGATGACATGCATCAACCAAGTCAGCGAGCCTGACCACCCGATCCCGTTTATTGCCTTTTATGACAAGCATAGTCACCTTTTACGGCAAGCATGGGTTGCTGAAGACCTATTCTACCCCGGAATCTTCATGGGTCTGTGAAACTACACAGGACCTGAGACGTATGCCAGCCCTCGAAAAATTGTTTGGAGCTGCCGATCCTGACTTCCTAAAAGCAAATGCTGCTCCATTTCCAGTCAATATTCATCTTCTGGTCCTACATACAGACACACGGACAGACAGACAGACACTACTCAAAAGAAGTAAAAGAACAGCTGAGTTTATAGTTAATCTGTCATTACGTATTAACTATAGTCATATAAAAACCTCCCCATTACAACATACTGTCTCGCCATAATAGTCATATGCAAACACTGGGTGTTCTTTAAACTCTTTTGAGTAGTATATATCTGCTACCTGTAATATTCCACAGGTACCAAAAGACTTACGCCAGCAAGGACATCAGCCTGAAGCTTAAATAGGAAACACGATCTATATTCAGTAAGGCTTTAAGAAAGGTACTCTCAGCAAGATTTTTACTGAGTTGGCAAAATCATATTTCCTGGATCCTTTGTAATGCAAGACCCTGTCCTCAGGAAGTCATATAGCTGATTACAGAGGTCATTGAACTGTGCGAGCTGATTTCTAGGTTATGTTGTGGGAGGCATCAGATCCAGTTACACATGTACCGGTAAGGGAGTCTCTGACGTGTTGATACACTTGGTTTTGCCATATCCAACCAAACAGCAGTATCACTGCTTCCCTGAGGGCATTTAGTTTGAGTGTAGGATGAGAAATGTGTTGCAGCCCAGAAGTTTTCATATCATAAAACAGAGCATACAATATTTGGTGCTCTGTTTTTGTTTTTATTGTTCTACTTGTCCTATGGGTCAGTCTTGTCATTTGAAACAAGATTATTTGGACATACACATGCGTGAATCTACCAGTTGATGGATGGCGGTTGCATATATATATTTACTCACTCTTTTTTTGTACTACAGGGGCAAATTACCCTCACCTCTAAGATGATTGTAACTCACATACTTTAACATCGGCTTAAGATAATTTTAGTGCTAAAGACATTTTGTACATTCTTACCAAATCTGTATTACCTTCACTTCTGTAACAGATTTTTACAGCAAAACAGTGTCTACCATGAATATGCAATAAGCAACAATTCATTGTGCAGAGTTGCATCCCTTTTGTGTTGCCACGATCTGCTGAGATTCGAATCACATTCATCCTGATTAATATCCTTGCCCTGTCCGGACCATCCTGTGTTCGTTGGTTTCAAGTGGTAAATGTAACAAAATCTCTCTATAATCATAAGAAATTCTTGTTAAAATCTTGACTATATCATAAACATGTGTTTATGAATTACCTTCACATAGGGGTTGATAACCCATTCGTTACTCCTTGGTTGGATTTGAGTCATAGTTTACGAAATAGGTATCCTCTCAAATTTCATGCCTGTGTGACAGAAATACTTTGCAAAGGTTCTGATCATGGAGATAGTGATGTCGCTATCGAAGTGTGAAACCTGAATGGGTCCATAGTATTAATCTTATAGACAGGAGATTTAGTTCCCTGGATCCCCAAGGATGTAAAGTGACCCACAGTTAGCCTTGGACCTGTGAAGATCCGGAATAGAATAGGTCTTCAGCAAACCCATGCTTGCCATAACAGGCGACTATGCTTGTCAAAAGAGGTAACTAACGGGATCGGGTGGTCAGGCTTGCTGACTTTGTTGATGCATGTCATTGTATCCCAATTGCGCAGATCGATGCTCATGATATCAATCACTGGATTGTATGGTCCAGACTCGGTTATTTACAGACCGCCATCATATAGCTGGAACATTGCCGAGTGTGGCGTTAAACCTTGTCACTTTACATAAATTAATAGGTCTGTGAGGTTTCTGGTTTAGGAAAGGTCTCCAGCAACCTGTGCTGGTTTAAAGGGATGACTAAATTAACGGACTTGGTGACTTGGTTGATAGCGTGTCATCATACCCAACATTATGGCCCATTGCTCATAATATTAATCACAGGATTCTCTGGTACATACTGGATTATTTACAGGCCACAACACATAGCTGGAATATTGCTGAGTGAGGCAGCAAACAATAAACAGACATTAAAAGAGATCATTCTGCCATCAATGCTCGAGACACATGTGATAATAAAATGCCCATGAAGTTTCATGCTTCTCGTTTGTGTTCCAGGTACCACCCAGTTATCTCACAGACAGACGTACAGATCATATACAGCCATACACAGAATCTTCTCAACTACCACCGCTGCCGCCATCAACCATATAGAAATCATGTTCTCTTATCTCTTCATATTCAGTAAGACCCTATTAATCCAGACAGTTCCAGCATGGAGCAATGTCTTTTCTTTTCTTTTTTATACAATGGAGTCCTGGCTAAATGGCTCAGTCTTTTCACTGTATTGTTTACTTTTTTGTGGTTCCAAAACAGCTGTGAATTTGAAACAAACATTCATTTGAAATGGAAAAAAAATAGTTTTAATTATTAACCTGGGAAGTTACTATCTTATGTTTTCAAAGAGTAATTTCCCAGGTTAACAATTAGATTTCTTTTTTCCATTTCAAATGAATGTCTAAAGATGAAAGAAACAAATATTTTTCTGTTTCTCTGATCAAGAATTTACATTTTAACATCCATTCAAATGGAAAAAAAATAATTTTAATTATTAACCTGGGAAATTACTATCTTATGTTTTCAAAGAGTAATTTCCCAGGTTAACAATTAGATTTCTTTTTTCCATTTCAAATGAATGTCTAAAGATGAAAGAAACAAATATTTTTCTGTTTCTCTGATCAAGAATTTACATTTTAACATCCATTCAAATGGAAAAAAAATAATTTTAATTATTAACCTGGGAAATTACTATTTTATGTTTTCAGTAAGGTTAATTTCCCAGGTTAACAATTAGATTTCTTTTTTTCCATTTCAAATGAATGTCTAAAGATGAAAGAAACAAATATTTTTCTCTTTCTCTGATCAAGACTTTTCTATGTATTGCTTTCATAAAGAAATATATATGGTATAAGGTGTTCTACTGATAAGATATGAGAGATCGTTGGACTTCCAGAACATTGTAGATCTTATATCTGTGCTACAGTCTTTTATGTACCGATGGCAGGGGTGACCCAGTCATCTAGGGTGCCACAAAGACATGCAGTGATATAACTGGAATACTGTTCTAAGCGGCATTAAACCCAACTCACTCACTCACTCAGTTTTAGGTATAGCTTATTTTTATCCACTTCCACGTGGGACCAGCCTGTAACTGATTCATGTGTTGTATTTTACATTCAAGTCAATGGCAGGCAAAGTATGCTTGAGGGCATCATCACGCATCTCTTCATATTGTGTCTCTTAAAGCTAAATCTGGAATAGTTTTTGGCATGAATACTGTGAATATACCTTCACTTGACAATCTTCCCACAGATCTCATAGGACATGGATTTTGTATATAAGAAATAAAGAGTGGGAGATGTTTATCATACAATAAAACTCTTCGCAGCTCCTTATGGTTTATTCTCCCTGTTTTATTGTACAATAAACAATTACCAATAACTGTTTATTTCTTATATGAGATATCAACATTATGTACAGTCTCTTTAAGGATGTTGATAAAATGTGCAAGCTTTAAAAATAGTTACCTTAAGAGGGGGGGGGGGGGGGGGGGGGGTTAAGAATGTGCATCACAATGCAGGAATCAGGAGCTGAAAATTATTCCTAAGGAACTTAATTCGAGTTCCAAGGTCAAATGTACAAGTTTTGAGTCTCTAGGTATGAAGCAAAATATACTGACATGCAATGAAAACACATCATGTTTTCAAGCCTCAGACAAGATGTGCGTTTGTGCTCAAGTCCATCTTGAAACACATTGAATGAAGACATTGTGTTTGATTATCTCATGCCTAGATACACAGAACAAGTGAATTTGATTTTTGTGACCATTTTGCTAAAGAATACAAAAATTTGAATTGCGGAGAGATTGAAGGGAATTGGGATTTTTAAAAAGTTCACATTTTCTTTAATTCAGAAATATTTTGAGATGCATTTAATGCAATAATATATAACAAAGCTTTAAAACCTGTTGCTATTTGTTGGTCTTGTTATAAGTGAATACAGGTTATTTCTACAAAGCTATCAAATTAGGGATTAGTTTTATATTAATACCTTGTAATATGAACTGGGAAATGTTAGTTCCAAATTGGGAATTTTTATTGACATTTGCTGCAGGCTTGGGATCGATTATTGGCCTTGGAACAGGTCTAGATAGACCCCATAAGAATGTGTAGAGTATTTAGTAAATTATTGTAGATGATGATGATGATGATGATGATGATGATGATATTTAAAGATTGTGTGATGTGTTTCTATGGAAGTCAAATCCTACTTCCCTCCGATGTACCAAATGTGCCTTCTGTGCTGGTAAAGGTGAGATGATATTTGAACAGTAAACAAGACACACAAATTATTTTACTGGATGATGATTGGATAAGACTCTCTTAAACTAGAAACAAACATCTTTAGAGTCACTGATGATGCACTATTCTGTTGTGACTCCTTACACTGACTACATGCACATACACTTAGTAATTTACTGCTGAAAAAAATCAATATAGTTTAATTCTGGCAGTCATATTTTTCTCTTTTTTCTAAATCATTCAAGATGATGGTTGGGCAAATAAAAAGATCAAATTATTCCATTATTTTTTTATTGTGACTTCTGGCTTTGGTCAGCTGAATCTGTCAGCTAAAAAGTATAAAAGCCTTTAAAAACTCATGTTAGCTTTAATTTGTATGAGTATAAAGATATATTCTGATTCTCATGGCATTTTCTAACAATGATGCATTTTATCTGTGTACCAAGGTTTATTCTTTGAAATCCGTTCATTGTTTTGATTAACTATATTATTTTGCTTTAAGATAATGTAAACAAATACCGGTATTATATTCTGTGTTATGCGTGGAAGTATGATAAGTTTACCGGTAGTTTATTTGTTTCACCATTTGTTTATAATGCCATGTCATCTATTATAAAGACGGTACACAATCTTGCCTTGTTAGTGTGGATGTATGATCTCAAAAGAAGTTACAGAACACCCAATCTCCTTAAAATCAGATCTTAGCTCTCGCTACTGCTAAACAAAGATCTGAGGACATCTCATTACGGGTCATGTCAGACCGACCTTGCGCGAACTTTGACCGACCAATGGAATGACCAATCAGAAGACAGCTTTCTCGTGCTTTACGGCACTAATTTCAATTTGGCGACTACGCTTCAAAACATATTTTGACAAATTCTCTATTACAAATTTGAAACCTGAACAAAAAAACATTCTGGAATGGCTAATGGATGATCTAGATTGTAAGGATTCAGTCATTAAACCCATAAAACCATTCAGAATACCCCATGTTAAAGTTTTCGAGGTTGCATGATTAGAAATCACATTCCGACTGTCACTTTCATAATCTGGTATGCAACGCTCTGATTGGTCGGATGAAAGGTCGTTCTGACGTGACCCCTAATGGGATGTCTTCAGATCTTTGTTTAGCGGTAGCAAGAACGTAGATCTGATTTTAATGAGATTGCAGACCACCTGACTTTTTCATATGACTATAGTTAATCTTTCAGGCCATGCCAGATAAACTATGGTAAGAATTGGGTGCTCCTTAACTTCTTTTGAGTAGTTTATTATGTTTGTTCTTATTTGATGCACTGTTTATTATTAGTGTTATTTGATTTTGTGATGGTTATGATTTGTTATTTAATGATGAAACATACTGTACTGTGCTTCTATGTTATTGCACATTGTTGTACATGTGTAGAATCTACAAATATAAACTGACAATATTCAATGGTTATCAGGGTTAAAATTCATTCATGTTCAACAATCCTTGATATATACAAAGGTCATGGGGCTCCTTGTAGATGTACAATCTCAATCTATGGACTCTCGTCTTCAGACTTTGTCCCGTTTATGATTGGGATATATTCATCTCTTTCTCCTTTTTTGGAAAGTGTAACACAAGACATTTTGAGTAAGCTTCTTTTTAGAAATTTGTCAATAGCAGGGTGTACAGTGTGTGTATATAGATATGATAGACACATGAGATGACAATTCAGTAAGCATTCCCCTTGACTAAAGGTTATGTTCGTGACAAATTGCTTAATGTTTGTGTGTAGGTTTTATGTGTTTTGGAAATGTCGCATTCCACTGAGAAATGATTATGAGCTGTTTGGTTTGGAAGGTTTTGCCTTCTGCAAGAAGATTGCATTCTTGGAACGAGGGTCAGTGAATGGGTCTTAGCCAGTGCTTCCGATGTCCTTGCCCCAAACGGTACTGGTATGACTGCCATTCATTGCAACAGACAGAAGAACACAATACTAATACATACCTTCAGCTCTAGCCACTAGATAATCTTCATGTCGCTTATGAACACATTCAGAAAAATTGAAATGCAAAATGGAAGTAAAATCATATTGACAAACAATGTATGTGATAAAGTTATAGTCCAATATCTGAACTCTTAAATATTTGAATACATATATATGTTTGAATGATGCAAAGTTGCAAGAATCATGTGAGTTTTAATTAATAATTTACCTTTACTTCTTTCCGCTCACAGATCAACATTTTTAATTGCACCATTGTATTTGTAAGGAATCTTTGTTCAGTGATGATGGGATGACCTAAGTGGTCATGAATAGTACCGTTAAGGACAACAGAAAAAAAGTATCATGACATGAAAATAATTAATATTTTATCACTTATATTTGATAAGCAAGGAATATGTTTTCCAGTGAATATTGTAAGAGAGCTTAGGATGTTTCTGTGAACACTTTGAGACCATCCTCTTCAGTGTTCAAAAACTCCCAATAATATTAAGAAAATCCTTTTTCAACACACATTCCACATTATGAAATCTACCAACCCACACAGTAAAAAATTAGCATCACCAAAGAGATTGATACTAGTAAATCCTATCCCAATTTTACCAGTTTGCCATTGGTTAACATGGGCGGATACAGAGGGGGGGTTCGAAAAAAATCTTTATTTCTGTATAAATTACCACCAAAGACAATAAATATAGATCTTAATTGTGCACCCCCCCCCCCTTTGCAAAAAAGCTGTATCCACCCATGGTCAATGTGTATTTTGTAGAACATATTCTGCCATAACAGAATGTTTGTGGAAAAGGAACCTGCTGAAGCTTTTTTAACAGACGATAATTTATTTGAAAGCAAGCCTGAAATTACTTTCCAGTGAATATTGTCAGCCAGTCTGTGGAGACATTGATGACATCCACTTGTGTTCACACACGTCAATAAAGTCAATGGGATTTTATTGAGAATGGTTTCACAATAATAAAATACTGCATTGTATTTGCTCTGTTATCGTGTGGACAGAGCTAGTTTTTCAGAGATCATTTTTTCTTTAATTCTCATGTTGATGACAAGAAAATGTTTGAGTGTCTAGTTTTCCCGTACTAAATGTTATCTAGACAAAAGGAATGACCATCTGTTTCTCAGTCCACCTGCACTCTTTCCGTGGGTTGTTTTACACACAGCTCCTCTCCCTGCAATAACCCAAGCAGGGCGTTCCTTTGTGTAGCACTCTCATAAATTTCTCTACTTAATTTATAAAATAGTCGTTTGATACATGGAGTGTCTTGCTCTAGCATTCTCCAGACAATCCCACCCTCCTTACTCTTGCCTAGTTGTTCTATGTTCAGGGTTTGGGTGATCCTGGCACAGTCAGGCTGGTAAGGGTCATCATCAGCTCAGGGCCCTTGGCCCTCTACACGCAGCCCAGGCAGCCAATGGGACTTCTCCCAGGAAGCGCTGCCTAGTCAAACCCACCCATAACAGAACTTATTATTATTATTATTATTATTATTATTATTAGTCTAGGTGCTTTATGTTTCATATAATAGTAGTTGTCTAGAATGTATAACTGTGTAGTTGAGAATATTTGTTACTGTAGGTATCAAGTGATACTTGTGTGTGTGAACGTTGTATTGGGCTGCCGTCAACTCGACCCCAACAATAGCTCTGCATCCACAACATGGGACCACAGTAAGATGCCACACAGTCATCCAGGTGACACACTGACCATTGGTTCATATACTACTTAAAAGAAGTTAAGGACCACCCGATTCTTTCATATCACTATAGATAATCTGTCATGCCATTCAGATGAAAGAATTGGTGTTCCTTAACTTCTTTTGTGTCGTATAAGTCAGTGCTTACATCAGGCATAGGGTACAGGGAACCTATTCTACACAGGAATCCCTATAAGGAAGGATTATTTACCATTGCAGCAAACTCGTGAGATATTGTCATGTTGTTAGGCTATTTGTACAGTTTCCTTATTGGCATACTGTGCAATAGACACCTACATACTCATCTGTACTTAGCAGAATAAAAATGTAAGTGTACAATTAAATGAAAAGTAGAGAAAATAGTAGGGTGTTAGGTGTAACCTCTTTGGCAGTGAACAGAGTCATCCACAGACCAGGCATCTTCCCGAGGCAACAGAGTTAACTGACTGTAAAAGTCCAGTTTCCACCCTTGCCGAACTAGGCTGGAATTCCTGGGCTCGA